TTTTTTTTTTTTTTTTTTTCCTGTCTCTAATTTCTTCGGCAAACAAAATTTTAATCATTCAAAAAAGAGAAAAATTTGTTTTTTTCTTAGTTATCTCAGTGTAGTTTTATGATGCCTCTTTTTTTTTTTTTCAATTTTATTTAAATTTTTTTTTTAGTCTTATTCTATTAATGTTTTTAACACTGTTTGTCGTGTTAATCGAGCAGAGACGGCCCGAAAAGTTGTTTGTTGATTTACACAACAGGAAGGGAAAAGGAGAGAAGGAAGAGGGAGAAAAAAAAAATATCGTTTCATCATAACAAACCAGCAGCTACGTATATGCACACTTAATGGTTTAATCTAATTTTAACCTAATTAATAAGGGCACATCTCATGTCTTTATGTTATTAAAATTTTGCACTGTTCAAGAAGAGTAAAATTTACTTCATTTTCTTTTTTTTTAAACTTTTTATTTATTTATTTATTTTTTTTTTTTGCATTTTATTTTTTTGTTTTATTTTCTCCTCTTTAGATGTTATAATTATAATGCAATAAGCACTGAAACTGTCGAGATGAGGATCAGCTAACAATTTTTTTCTTTTTAAATTCTTATTTCTTTGTTACTATTTTTCTTCCTCCCCGGGTTTTTTTTTTTCTTTTTTTGTTTACTGTTATTGTTTTTTGCTTTATTTTTATTAGGCGTTATATTTTTTACTTAACCGTCTTTTCATTTTATTTTATTTTATTTTGTTTATTTATTTGCTGTTTTGTTCTGCCCTGTCATCGTTTAATGTTGGTCGGTTATTTGATACTTATTTTAGAAATCAAAGGTTTTTTTTTTTGTCTCCGCCGGTTGTTTTATTGTTGTTGCATTTTTTGCTGATACATCACTTTTTAACATTCTGTATTGATCTCTGTACTATCGTGTGGTCATTTCGATTTTTTTCAACCTTGTAAGTTAAGTAGTTTTTTAATTGAGTAAATTTACTATATGCTGAATGGTTTATAGAATTTTGAATTTGGTATTTAGAAGTTTGGTTCTTATATGCATAATTAGTCAGACTCTGATCATGATGCTAGCGGTATTGCTTTAATTAATTTAAAAAATTTTTTTTTTTCATTTTTTTTACCGTTTAGAAAGCACAAATGTAAATTAAATGGAAGAAGTTCATGGAGGACTCTTGAAGGCAGAGGACATCTTGCACGTTTTACGCGATCGCGTAGCTGAACTGCCTGGTACCAGAGATAGAAAGGGCCGTCCAGTAATTGTTTTTCCTGCTCGTGATACGCCAGTAAACCCCGACCATACTAGGAATATTCTTCTTTACCTTCACACCGTCACATCGTGAGCTTTAAGTTAATTTGCCTTTATTAAACTCTAAATGATTATATATTTTTAGTTGCTTCCCGTAATAGCAAAGTTTCTTATTATTTGTCGTATACTGACTTGTTGTTTTGTGCCTACATTTTCATAAGTGATACATCGTCGGTTTATTTTTGCGATTTTTGATTTTTACTTGTAGGGATGAATACAAAGAGCATGGCTTTGTTTTCATTATCGACATGCGACGAGGGACAACATGGAGTCATGTGAAACCAGTTTTAAAAGCTATTCAGGTAATTTCTACCACCATAAGTCATGCGTTGTTTTAGTTTTTTCAATTTTGTCAACACTGATACTCATTAAATTTATTTTTTTATAATCTTTATTGAAGGAATTGGATTGTTTCAACTTCGTGATATTTTAATGTTTCCAAACTAATAGAAAAGGCCTTAAATATTTTCTGCACTGTGAAATTTTAGGACCACTTTCCTGCTGCTGTTCATGTTGTTCTGATAATTAAACCAGATAACTTTTGGGAAAAGCATAAAACTTCCGTTTCAAGTGGCAAATACAAGTTTGAAGTTCAGATGATTTCTGTAGAAAATTTGGTGAAATATATTGAACCTTCTCAACTTACTCGTGAGTTTGGCGGGACACTGTCTTACGACCACGACGAATGGCTTGAGATAAGATTGGTGTGTATAAATTTTAGGAGCTTCTCAGACATTATTCCAAAAAAGAAAATTTTTCTGGTACATTGAAGTAATGTTGGATTCTATTCATTAAAACCGTTCTTGCCATTCAGGAGCTGGAGAAGTTGATCTGGCAAATGATTGATGTTCGGGAAAATTTTGAAGCTTATAGGAAAGAAATTGAGAATGCTGCATTACCGGTAGATGTAGCCACCGCTCAGAGAGCCACGGCTGCTCATGTTGCTTTGAGAAAAAAGATTGTTAATGCCCCTATAGATTTTTTGCAGAGTGGAGTTCAAAGGGTCAGTTCCTCATCTCTTTGTATTATTATTAACATTTTTTTCTTTTTCTTCTCTTTCTTCTTCTTCTTCTTATTATTATTATTATTATTGTTAATATTGTTATTGTTATTATTATTATTATTATTATTACTACTACTACTACTACTACTGTCACTACTACTACTGCCACTACTACTACTACTATCATTATTATTTTTATTTTATTATTATTATCACCATTATTATCATTATTATTATTACTGTTATCATTATCACTTTCATTACTAACTAAAGGACAGGTTCTTCACTAAGAAACTAGTTGGTATAACAAATTTTTTTGCAGGATTTGAAGTTGGAGTCTTTATTGGTATTTATAAGAACGTTTAGGTCTGGCTTTCAACAAAAATTATAAAGCATTTAAAAATTTTAGATTACTCAGCGCATATGTGGCTCATCGAACTCTGCCAATGAAAACGGATTTACTTCTCCAAATGGTTATCCAGGAGTTAATCCAGATTTAGCTTCAGCATTGCCTCATCTTACAGCTTTGGTTGAGCGATTAAGGTTGTTGAAGTAGGTTTTTTTTAGAAAAAAACTGCTTTTTCAGCGCTTTTTGATTCCCGTAAGTTAGACTATGCATCTGTTGGCTAGCTGTTGTGATTTTTTAGAGAAGAAATATTTGTTAAGTGGGAGACCCTGAGACAAAAATTGGATCATTGTTACCAGTTAAAGTTGTTTGAGCAAGATGCGGAAAAGGTTACCTTTTTTTTACATTGGTTTTACTTACTAATTGTTTTTGTTGTTTCTTTAGCAGTTTCTGTGTCTGACCGACTTCAGTGAACTGTTTGAATTGCTGTCTCAGTTCTGGCCTGCTAATTAATGAAATATTTCGTCATTTCATAGACTAAAAGTTTTTGTAGATGTTTGAGTGGATCCGTACACATTTTGCCTTGTCAACCCAAAAATTTTTGGATATCGGAGATTCTGAACAAAGTACCGAACTTTTGATTGCAGAACATCGAGAATTCGAAAAGGCAGCTAATGTATATCTTAAATTTAAATTTTTCTCAAATGTTGCTTTCTAATTTATATTTCGTCATGGATGTGCCTTTTAGCTTCATGAATATTAACCATATTTCATTTGCTTTTGTGCATATTAATAGTTTGGAGAAGAACTGTGAATTTAGAATACAGAGGTGAATGTTTCGCATGTTATGACTGTCGCAAAACGGTTAAGAGAGATTGGGAATTATGGGAAAGCGCAAATTGAAAGTGTAGCGATGAGGTTGGAAGAGGAGTGGAGGCGTTTCAAAACTGCTGTGGATGAGCGGACAAAACTGCTTGATCTTGCATTGGCTTTTCACCATAAAAGTTTTTTAGTGTGTTTTTTTTCTTTATTGTTTTATATTTTTTAGTGGTTTAATTATGGTGCTTTTTAATTTTCAGTTCTTATTAATCTTTTGGAGTAATACTGATTCCACTGAGTTACTGAAAGGATTCTTTGATTGCAGTACTTGTCTAATTTTACGGGTTGGATGGAGACAATCGGGGAAGGTAACAGTATTAGACAGTGTACTGCTGATGAATTGGAGAACGCAATTGCGGAACATAAACGTTTTGGGGAAAATTTTGTTCAGGTTTATGCTGAGGTAGTCTTTTCTTTCACACTTCACAAAACTTAACTTTCTTTCAGTGTTATTCAGTCTTTTTAAACATAAAAGTTTTCTAGGCAGTAGGCAATGGCCGCGCCTTAACACATAGGCTCAAGTCTCTTGGTGGGGAAGGTATGGTACAAAATGAATCATTTCGGTTTGTTGACGATGTTATTCAAAAAATAACCCGAGCTCACAGAGAACTTTACTCTCAGTGGGAATCAAGGAAATTGAAATTGCATTCTCGTTTGGCTCTTATTGCGTTTGAAACTGATACTCGTTTGGTAACAAATTTTCTGCTTTGAAGCAACTTTTTGGTGGTACAAGTTATTGGTTTTTTGCTCCTTCAGATAAAGATACTGCGAAGAAGCATATGCGAATTGTGGAAATTCATAAAAAGTTTAAGGAGACAGATTTTCAAATATTTTTTTCTCTGTTCGTGGAAAATAAGTAGGGATTTCCTTGTGCTTTGAAGGTTTTACAATGGCTTGAGCAACACGGCGATGGATATTTGAACAAGAACACATCAATTGGTTTGAATCTTTCGCAGGCAAAGGTTTTACAGAGGAATCATTCCCATTTTCGTTCAGTCGCTTCTAATACGTATTCTAATGCTGAAAAACTTTTTACTGCATCAAAAACGATAATTGAAACGGGTAATTAAAACTCCATATTACTTCTCAGTAATTGTTTCTCTTTTTATTTAAACTGAGGATTTACAGGTGAGGGGGATGCGAAGCAAATGAGTGCAGTAGTTGAAGAGCTAAGACGACGCATCGAACAATTCTCTGCAAAAGTAAATTTTAAGCTGACAAGTATATTGGAATATTTTTTATTTGTTCTTTTCTGACCTTTTGGTTTTATGATTCTGTTCTGTGAGTTTATGGATTATTATTCTTTAAGGTTGAGGCTCGGCGTCTGCTTTTGGACAAATCTGTCCTGTTTTACACTCATTATAACGAAATGATGCAGTGGTATGGTAGAATGGAAGCTAAAGGTGTTACGTATGAGAAAGTCTCAACAAGTGTTAAGGAAGGTGAGCATCGTAAAGAAGAATGGAATGCAGAATGTGAGGCGACGGTGCAGGTGATTTTTTGAGAGTATTGAAGAATTCGTTCTTTACACGATTTTCAATTGTTAGTTTCTTGAATATACTTAAATACAGATTGATTTTAACCCTTTTACGACAGTTTTAATCTACACGGAGATTTCTGGATTATACTTCACTTTATGATTGAGTTGTTGCTGAATTAAAATAGGGTTTTAAAAATCCATGTTAATGAAGCGAATAGTAGGTCATGACAGCGATTCATTTCTCTTTGCTTTGACAAGATCATGTTCCAGGGGTCTGCAGTATTGGTTAATTTCAGGCTTTCAAAACAACTATGAAAGAAGGTGACCAATTAGTAAGGGCTTTGGAGCAGCAGGCAAGAAGTATGAATATCGACAACACTGAAACCATTCGTGTTGTCGAAGGGCTCGTTAGTGAGATAGGTTGGTTAATTTGATAAACCAATGCTGTATATTTAAAATCCTCGAGATAAAACCACTATTTTTTCAAAGTTTAGAACAGCGTCATAAGAAACTTGCTGATACATGGCCTCGACAAAGGAGTGCATTGCAGTTGGCAGTTCGGTTTGCTGTATTTATTCATGAATGCAAACAGATAATTCAACAGCTACAGGTTTTTATTCAACGTGAAGAAACTTTTTATAGCTTAGTGTCAGAGATTTAAATAAGAAATTTTTATAGAATTGGCAAGATGATATGATCGCACTGATGCGTTCAGACAGTTTTGCCGAAAGGGCGGAACGCATTCTTCCTTACCAAGAAGAAAATACTGAACAGGTCAAAAATGCTGTACGTGATATTATGAACGCGGCTGCTCAGCTTAACCAGGTAAGAAGATAGTTTTTGCCGCAATTAACAATTCTATTTCAACTGTATCTACCAAATTTATGTTGTATTTGTCCTAATTTGTTTCCTAATTTGTTTTAGGCCTTGGATACCAGTGAAACCCGTTTGACGGATAGTGAGGGAGTTCCTGCATCTGAATTGGTCAGTAAAAGTGTAGAACAGTTGTCTTTTCGACAGCACGAGGTAATGCAGGTAAATTATTTTTATTTTGTTTTGTCTTTCGGTCCTGGGCATTTTACAGAATAATTGTGAGTTGAGTGGATCATTTAGGTGGCTCGTGAAACTCGTTTAAGGATTGATAGATGTATGCAACTCAGCCGTGTTCGTGCTTTAGCTTTACAAACAATATCGATGATGGATCGCGAAGAATTGAATTTGCTTCGCGCAAATTTGATTCCATCTAATTTGGAGGAAGCGTTGCACGCTCAAAGTATTCATGGGAATTTTCAACATGCTATGGAGGTTTTGTTTCATTTTTTATTTTCTGGGTTTTACGCCAGTATTTTTTTGATTTATCTTCAGCTTACTTTATTTTTAGCAAACTCAGCAGACGTATGCGAATTTTGTGGAGAAGACTGAACAGCTAATCAAAGCTGGGAGTGTTGATATAGATGCTGTTGGGGAACTCAACGAGCAGGTTAGGAGCAAATGGCGTGGGTTGGTTGGGCTTATTGAAGAACGGAATAAGTTGATCCAAGCTGCTATTGGGTGCTATAAAACTCTTCACCAGGGAGTAAGTGCAGCTACTCATCTATTTTGGCATTCACGTTTCGTCGCCTTTTATAAAACTGAGAAAAAATAACAAGCTTTAAAGATGTGTACTATTTCCATGCTGGTGATTTTTCACTTAAATTAATTTTTTAATCTAATTATTGTTTTGTTTTCCTGAAAAAAGATACTTAGCAGTAATTACTTTTTTAAACTTTCTAATCTTGTATTCAAGCTGCTTCCTATACTGGACCAGTTAGAAAAAGAATATAGTGCTGGCGCTGTAAAAGACTGGTGTAAAGAGTGCAGTAGTAGCAGTGATAGAGTAGAATATATCTCTGGCCTTTTGTCAAAGCATATGGATTACAAAGAGAGGTTTATAAAAGTTAGTTGTCCTTTGGCATCCTTATAGTTTTGCTTTCTCAATTCTGGCTTTAATCATGAAAATATTTTATTTTAGGGAACTTCGTATGCACAGAAGAATTCTGAGTTATTTCTCAAATATATTCGAAGACTTCATTCACAAAAATCCTCACATACGGATTATATACGGACCCACGAACTTCGGTTGTTAAAAACGAAGGAGGTTCTGCGGGATAGACAACAAAAAATTTTAGATTTATGGAACAAAAAGAAAAAGCAGCTAGATTGTTGTCAACAGTCTGTGCTGCTAGAAGCATCAGCAAACCAGGTAGAGATGAAAACGAAAAATTAAAATGTACTGTGCAATATTGTCATTTTTTGTCGTTTTAAAAGTTTTTAAATTGTGTTTTTTGATTAAGGTTTAAAAATTTATTTTTCTCTAGATACTTAGTTGGATTGAACAGGATGGTGAAAGTTTTTTAAAACTATGTTTTGGACGGCAGTTGGTAGGAGCTCGCAGAGAGCAAATTGATTCTTACACTGAGGAATTCAATACTTTCATGGTTGATGTTAAGGTCTGTTGCTTTTTTAGTTTTTTACTTTATACAGTCATTTTTAGGATAATTGTTTTTTTACGATTATTTGGGACCCAGTTTGGATGGTTTTTCAGTATTTTTTTCTAGCAACAAAGAGCGAAGGTCAGAATGCTACTTGAAATGGCTCAGAAGCGTTTATCAGATGCTACATTTGATGACACACATGGAAAAGAGGTAGAGGATTGGATGGGAACAGTCAGGTCGCGATTTGAAAAATTTTGCTCTCGGTTGAATGAGTATGAGAACAATCTTTCTTCAATCTCGGGGCGGAAATCTGAGCTTAACAAAACGGTAAATAGTAACTGTTTTTTAACAGTTTTGCTTTTTATCGGTAGAAGCATTGGTTCCTTTTTTTTGTGGAGTGCATTGCTTTTTTTTTCGTCGGCTGGTTACAGATTACCAAAACATGTTTCCTAGATATGATAACCCGGTATTATAAATGACGATTTTGATTTTTGAATTGATCTTATTGGCTAAACCTGTACGTTTCTAGGTTTTTAAGTTTCATTTATTTATTTCAGTATGAATGGGCGTTAGAGAAGGAAACCTTATTCATTGATTTTTTTAACATTAAAAAAACTATTTTTTTAAAGGGGTTCTTTCTAAAATCACCTCTCGATTTAAAACTTGTATCAATTTTTATATTGAAACAAATAGAGAAGTTTTTTAATCTTTTAGTTTTTTATTCTATTCAATATTTCAGGATGTATAGTTGGTTCTGTCTTTCCACTACAGTTTATTCTAAGATTTTGAAAAATATGTTTTGTAATTCTCACGAAATTCCAATTTTGAAAACATTTTTAAGTTTACATAATCAACAATAGTTAGACGATTTGAATTGACTTCATTGAGTAGATAAAGTTAAAATAAGTATTCATATGCATAACATCTATTTTTTTTCTTAAATTTTTGGCTCTTTATTGGAAACAAGAATTATTCGGTAAATTTTTATTTGAAAGGCGGTTGAATTCATATATGTCATTTATCCTCGTTAAAATTTCTTCTAATGGTGGTATTTTTTCTATTTTAAAAGACCAAA